GTGTGTGTGTGTGTGTGTGTGTGTGTGTGTGTGTGTGTGTGTACAGCTGGTTATAAAATGAGAATCAGAAGGGAACTGGTCTGAAATTATTAATTCAGAATGAGAACAAACAGAACGTAAGGTTATGAATATAACCACGGTTCCTCGAAAGAATGGAACGAAGTACAACACACAGTTGTATATGGGACACGCGCCCTCGCACGCCTGGCTGAAGCCACCTCTGATCACGTCTTTAGACCGGTGACGTGGTGACGTTGAACGTCGGGTGACAGGCTCCGCCTTCACCCTATAAGTTCGGAGTCACCAGTGTCATTACTCAGATACCACCCTTCACCGAGCCTATTGTGATGCGGGGCCAACAAAGTGTTGTACTTCGTTCCATTCCTTCAAGGAACCGTGGTTACATTCATAACCTTACGTTCCTTTTCAGTCATTTCACTCAGTAAAACACACAGTTGTATATGGGACTTGTCAAAGCGCCCCACAGAGCAGTATCAGACCTGAGTTAAGTAGTGTGCCTGAGTAAGTACTGTACTAATGCAGAGCTTTGGACCCGGCAGAAAGTACAGAATGAGCCACCGAAGGTGCCGTTACATCCAGGCTGTAAAATCATGCAAATGTGTTTGGTGAGGCCCAGCTGGCCGCGGCACAAATGTTACTCACACGTACCCCTTTAAAAAGGGCCCAAGATGTCACTACACCCCTGGTGCAGTGAGCTTTAACTCCAAGAGGGATTGGAAGGTTTTTGCTGCTGTATGCTAGCAAKATGGCCTCTACAATCCAGTGAGAGAGTCTBTGTCTAGAAAGAGCTTTACCTCTGTGTGGGTTAGCAACAGCCACAAACAGCTGATCACATGACCTTACATCCTGTGTGCGGTTGATGTAAGTGTGTAGAGCACGTACGGGGCACAGAAGATGCAGCCTCTTTTGCTCCTCAGATGCAAAAGGGGGGGGGGGTGAAAGCTGGAAAGCTCTATAGACATAGAGCTGTAACTAGAAGGTATCACCTTAGGAAGATACGCAGAGTTAGGGTGCAAAACCACTTTAGAGTCATTAGTAGAAAACTGGATACAGGAGGGGTTCACTGACAGAGCATGGAGGTCCCCGTCCCATTTAGCTGTAGCTAAAGCCAGAAGCAAAGCAACTTTATATCAAAGAAACTTCAACTCTACAGACTCTAGAGGTTCAAATGGAGGGTCGCAGAGAGCCTCAAGAACCACAGTGAGGTCCCAAGAGGGAATACTGGGTTTAATAGCAGGCCGTAGCTTAYRAACCCCTTTCAGAAAACGCACGGCTAAAGGATGAGCACCAGGTGTGACTCCATCAAAACCTACATGGCAGGCAGAAATGGCTGCTAAGTAGACTTTAATTGTGGAGAAGGAGAGCCCTTTATCCAGTAGCTCCTGAAGAAATGTTAAAACATCTCCTATTACACACTGAAAATGGTCTGGTTGCCCGTTCTTACACCATCGCTCAAAAGCTTGCCACTTAGAGGAATATAATCCTCTAGTGGATGAAGCTCTTGCGTTTTGGATAGTTGCTATTACTGCTGGAGAAAGGCCTTTGGCTAATAAGCTGGACCTTTCAGCAGGTAAACATGCAGCTTCCATAGTTCTGGGTGTGGGTGAAAAATCTCCCCCTCTGCCTGTGAGAGGAGATCTCGTCGAACCGGAAGTTGCCAGGGTTGAGCTGCTAGCAAGATGATTATCTTGGCGTACCAAGACTTCGCTGGCCAGCGGGGTGCCRYTAGGATCAAAGACAGGCTCTGTCCGCGCACCCTCTCTAGTACAAGTGGTATCATTTCCACTGGGGGAAACGCATACAGAAGTACATCGGGCCAAGGATGAGCTAGGGCGTCCACTCCCAGAAGAGCGCTCATTCTCACCACCACGCATTCAAAGACAAACAAGATGAACGCCACACCCCTCTCACACTCCGGATACACACTCTGTAACCCCCAGGTCCATGACACGTACCCGCCCCCTAGAGAGGGCAGGTCATTTCCGAATCCAGGAGGTAAACCCGTTCATTCTGGGGTGAAGAGGAGCAGACAGCCAAGGTCCAGCCCGGACCGTACCAGGTCAGCAGACCACCCCCGCCGCACTTTTCACTTTTTACAGCAAGAATGTCCTTTCCTGTTTCACCATTTACTGGATGGCTGTAAAATAGTGAGTGCACATATTTTGCTTATGTGAGTTTGTCACATTTTTCTTTGTGCAATGGGACCAAATAGATTCAAAACAAAACAAAATCTGTGTCTTTGAGGCTGTTTGTACATTGAAAATACAAAAGATAAATACCACGCTTTCGCTTTAATTTCTTACTTTGTTTATGACATGTTTTCTAATAAAACATCTTAAGAACAAGTCAACAAGGTCACAAGATTGTTTTACATAATGGGACTTTTAGAGCACCATATTAAATTGCATTTCACCATTTTAAAACATAAAATTGGCAAACTTGGAAAGAAAAAGTGTTTGGTGTTTGATTGGTTTGTTTTTTGAGATGTATTTATTTATTGTCACAGATCACATCTGCTTGTTAATTCAATAAATGCTAAGAATTTAAAACATTCAGTTTGACAATGTAACTACCTTTCTCTCTCACTTTTACACACACGCACGCGTGCACACACACACACACA